TCCTGGGGCCGCCTAGCAAACCCACTGATACATAACAGTCCCCACCCCCCACATTGAAACATTCCATCCTTCAGGGATGCTCCTTAAACAGGAAGGCAAACAACTCAAACAAGCTTCAGGAGACCCCTGAAACTGAGCAGATTCACTAGGCTCCTCCCTGCCAGAGTAAGCAATAAAAGCTGCAAAGAAGACTCTGAGACCAGATCAACTTCCAGGGAGAAGCACAAACTAGTCAGGATGCCTGGAAGAAGTTTAGACCAGAGTCACGTGGAAAGGACTCTCCAACCCGTTGATCTGCCTGCAGGCTGGGCAGGATGCTCCGGGTTTCTAGCTTTTGTGGGCTGTCACCCATGCTGAGATGGGCTTTAATGATGCAGCTGTCTTTGAGTCATTTCTATTCCTGTAAGTAATCTCTCACCCATATTCTTCTAAGTAATCCCAATAAAACTCACTGGTTCAGCTCATTGGTTGGACTAGCGGTCTCCATACTTTAGTAGATCTGAGGGGAATAGATGTGTGTCCTGGATTTCCCCACAAAAAAACCTTAGTCACACAACACCCACCTGCTGTAACTGGAGAGTCCTCAGCTGGTTAGAGACCTGCTGCAAAATGCAAAACAGCTGGGCAGTGCCTGAGAACCAACACCCAAGAGTAACCTGTCCTGCCTTCATACATACACGCACACACACACACTACAAATTTCAAGAAACATCAGAAAATATTTGTGGCCTTTTATTTGTCACACACTTCTTAGATTTGGCATATAAAACCCGATACATAAAAGAAAAAAGTTAATAAACTAGACTTCATAAAAATAAAAGCTGTTCTTTAAAAGACACAGATATAGAGAAAATATTTGATTTTTTGTCTGATAAAGAGCTTGCATCCAGCATGCATAAAACTGACTCAAAAATCCATCACAAACAACCTAATGAAAAGCATACAAAAAGTCTGAATAGACGCTTCACCAAAACCAATGCAAATATCAAAACCGAGCTCACCAAGTATGATCTGTCTCATTGGTCATTTGGGAAATGCTAATTAAACAACGAGATAGACTACATATCTAATAAGTGGCTACAGTTTTTAAAATCCTGCTGAAAATTTGTAGGACAACTGGGTCCTTGCATTACTGGTAGGAATGTAGATGGCACCTACATTGCAGAGAGCACTTGACTTTTTCTTCTAGAGTTACACCTGCAGAAGTTGAGAAATTAGAATAAGAGAATGCAGAAAGGTTTGGGACAGGTAGAACATCCTACATCTTAACTGTGGTACCAGTTGTACAAAGTGAACACATTTGTTAAATCGCACACAGCTTTGACAAGATGGCTCAGTGGGTAACAGAGCCTTCTGCACAAGTTTGGAATTTTGAGCTTGATTGCAGAAATGTACAGGAGAAAGCAACTCAACAGAGTTGTCCTCTGACCTCTGCACACATCCTGTGTCATATATACAGCAGCAGCAACAGCAACAACAATAATATAAATTTTTAAAAACTTACAAGACCAGAAAGGGATACTTTTTTCCCATGTGAATTTTAAAGGGTTTGGAGAATGACAATAAAGGCTGCTAAGTTACTGTGACTTTAGGTAAACTGATTTTCTGTGCCTCAGTGATTTTCTGTGAGTCTGCACACTTAGGGTAAAATATTATTTTCCCTCCTATTTTTGTAAGAATCAAACATGCTGGGCCAGGTTTTGTGGGTAAAGGAGCTTGCTTGCTACCAAGGCTAAAGACCTGAACTCAATGCCTGTGCCCCATAGTGTGGGAGAGGAGAGTCAGTGCTGGAGAGAAACCCATTTTCTGATCAGCACTAATGTGAGTTGTCCATGGCTGAAGCTGGGAACAGGCCATGAAATATTTTGTCAGTTCCATGACATTGGGCAGCTCGCTTGTGTCTAGCAAGTAGTCTCCTGCAGGCTTCTGGTGTTTAAGGGTTAGTATTACCATGCAGTAAAAAAATTCAGATATTTAGGTCAGTGAAGGATGAACCACGCTTAACCCAACAGGACACGCTGGCCTCCAGGAATCTCATCGATCATTCTGTGGAAATGTTTGGAAAGCACAAAGAGGATGCTGGGAGGATGGGCTATTGCTATCAAAACATTAGAAAGCTGATAAAATATAAGTCCTATACACCCTGCTGGGTAGTTTTGTCAGATCCAAAATAAACTCAAATGGCTACCTATGGTGTCTATGAGCACACCGAAGTGTCTGCTTGGCCTCTGGGCTGCTTCTGTACCAGTGACTTCTCTGAGCCTTTCTAACCCCGTCCTTTACCCTAAAGCTCTCCAGCCTAAGGGCTTCCCTGTCCTTCCTCCGCAGTTTCTGATTCCTATTTTACCCTACCAAGTCGACCATGTTCTCTCCTGGTTCTCTTGGCTCTCTTTATTCTCTCCTCTCTTGCCCATCTCTCTTCCTCTCTCGCCCTCCCCCACCTCTCCTCTCACGGCCCAGTTCAGCCCACTGGTCATGTGTAGTCTGCTACTTTCTCTCCCTGTTCTGGACTGTTCCAGTTGTCTGGCTGTACCCTCCCTCATATCAAGAATAAAACCTTTCTCCTCAGCCTTGCCTCAGAGTGGCCATGTCTTCATTTTCTTCAGTTTGCACACAGGATGGGAGTTTCAAGAGCCTTCCTAAGAATCAGAACTCTCTTCATGGTAGCGTAGCTTTGCTTCTGGCTCTTATCCCCCTGAGGCTAATCAGTGCAACTCTTTCTGCATTTGAAGTTATTTTTGAAGAGGAATAACTCACCTACCCTATTCACGCAACATGGCTGCCAGAGAAGTGAATGGAAGCTGGCTTTAATAACACCAAGTCAACAGCTGGTCAAAGCAAGTGTAGGAAGAGCAGGGTGGGTTGCTTGAATTGTCTCCACAATTAGAATCCCCAGAGGGCAGGTTATTGTAGCAGAGGACAGGTCTACTTCCATACCCCAGGGAAGCAGAGGTGTGTGTGTGTGTGTGTGTGTGTGTGTATACAGGTCTAAGTATCTGTGCTAATACACAGAGGAGGAAGCTTAATGCCTTCATCTTTCATTTCCCACTGTATTCCTTGAAGACAGGGTCTTTCCTGACGTGGTAGGGCACGCCTTTAATCCTAGCACTCTAGAGACAGAGGCAGGGGGATCTCGGTGAGTATGAGGCCATCCTGATCTCTACAGAGTGAGTTCCAGGCCCAGTTCCAGACCAGCCAGGAATATATAGTGAGGCCTTTTTGGAATAAAAATACCAAAAAAAAGTTAAGAAAATACAGGGTCTTCCTCTCTGAAGAAGAAACTCACTGTTTTTACTAGGCTGGCTGGCTGTCCAGTGAGCTCTTGGGGTCTCTCTGACTCTGCCTTTCAGTGCTCAGTATGCCCTATTTTTTGCATGGGAGCTAGGGACTTGAACTCAGGCAGTCATGCTTGCAGAGCAGGTATTCTTACCCACCGGGGTATCTCCCCAGCCACTTGTGCCTCAGTTTTTAATAATATACTAACATACCCATCTCAGCTGTAAAGAGAATTCAGTCAGGAGAGCTGAGTACTAAACAACCATTATAAACACAGCCCTCTGCACCCGTCACAAGTGGCAGGATAATGCACGTTTCCCTCTATGTGATTTGCTTCTTTCTATCTAGCATCGCATTTTGATGATAATTCCACATCTGTTCCTATAGAATTGCTCTGATCTCTGTGAAATCCCATCGCAGAGGATTGTGTGTGCTATTGTTAGACATGTGAGCTCTTTCCAAACCAAAGATTCAGCAATGACTGTGTTTACAATACTTCGCTGGAATCATATGTCTAAATAGGCCTAAGAGAGGCTCTTGTAAATAAGGCAAGTTGTTGAACTAAAGGGTGTGGACATTTCGGGGCTTTATAGACACTGCCCAGCGCCAAGAGAAGTGCACAAGGGGCTCCCTTACCCTACACTCACACTAACAGGGGTCAGTGCTAAATGTTTTGGACTTAATAGATGCAGTTTTATCACAGGACGATTAAAGGCAACTAAGCTATGGGATGTCCTTACTCCTGAAGGGCCCTGAAGAAATAACTCTTCCTCTTAAAGGGGAAGTGACACCCGTGTCCAGGGAGACAACCACAGTGAACACTTTTGAAAATAAGTAATTGGATTTGCTTGCTCCCTTTCCAGTTCTCTCTGTACTCTCAGCTTCCAGGCTCTGTGGGAGACTTCTGGATCTTTCTCTGTCTTCTCTTACGGCTCTATCTCCAGCTCCCAAAGCAGTGGCTGACACATAGTAGGAGCTCAATAAATAAGTTAAACCTCGGCTCAATGCTGGGGAAACTGAAATGCGTTGGACTGCTCTTCCCTTTGTGGTCCAGATTTGCTGAAGGTGGGCATGCTGATGCAGAGGTAGCTGACATCTGTAGGGTTTTTCGTCTCCTGAGCAGGCAAGGATAACTTGCCCTGAATATAGAATCTAGAAATAGATTAGGCATGTTTACTAAACCCGAAAAATATTTCCTGTAGTACCAGAAATAATTTTCCCACAGCTTTGTGCTACATCAAAATATTGAAGCTGACCGAAAATTTCCAATTCTCTACTATTGTTGTAACCTAGAAACCAATTTTTATATTCTAGCACACAGAGGTGGGATAAAAACCTCCTGATGTTGGAATTCTCCCAGGTGCATTCAAATTTAAAATATTATTATAAAATTTGGATAATTTTAAAAAGTGATTATTGATAACTATCATTGAAACCTGGGTCATAAAAATGTACAGTTTTGAGTTATCAATCCAGCGTTTGAGAAAAACCAAGGACCAAAGGCTCTCCCGGACTTCCCAAGTGCCATATTTTACTGATGAATTCTATGAAAATTATCTCATCTTTAAATCTTTGGGTAAATTGGTAGGTGAGAAAAAAACGTATTCATCAAAATGATTTTTTTGTGATTTTTGAAAGCATGGGAAAGAATAGGGATTTAAATTTTCAGTTATACCTGTAGAGTAGTGATCATAAAATTCTTCTCATCCTTGTTTTTTTCCCAGTCTTCCCAGATTTGCTCCCAGCCATCCCTGTGAGCATCCACGTCAATATCATTCTATTCTCCATGATTCTGGTCATCTTAACCATGGTGGGGACAGCCTTCTTCATGTACAATGCTTTTGGCAAGCCCTTTGAAACGCTGCATGGCCCACTAGGGCTATATCTCGTGAGTTTCATTTCAGGCAAGTATAAAATTCTACCTCCAAAGACTAAGTGCTTTTCCAGTGTGTCAAAAGATGCTCTACCTAAATGTAGTTATGCCATGCGTACAGTAATATTTTTGTAGTATTATATATGACAGAAAATAATGGAGAAATACTATAATTATCTAACAATATGGAATTCACTGTATACATTATAGTAGTCTATATGAATGAATACAGTTTTTACATTATAATTTTGAAGATATAATCAAAAGGCTAACACTTGTATCAAATTGTTAAATGAAAACATTAGTAATATTTTACAAATATTATGAACCTGTTGGACTATAAATACAGAAAATATACATATAAAAATTGATGGAATTGTTTATATATAGCCATATATTCTTTCACTCACACACACACATACACACATACTAATATAAAAGCTATATTTATATATGGGTGATGGGTGAGGATACTTTGCTAGTTGTGGTGATCTCCAAGGATGGGAGCTATGGATAGCCTTAATTTTGCTCATTGTTATTAATATTTTTTCCTTTGGTGTGTTGAGACAAAGTTTCTCTGTGTAAAAGTCCTGGCTGTCCTGGAACTTGCTTTATAGACCAGGCTGGCCTCAAACCCACTGAAACCCACCTGCCTCTGCCTCCCAAGTGCTGGGATTAAAGGCTTGAGTCATCACCGCCCACCCCAGTTATCAATATTTCTAAATGTTCACTAGTGTACATTTATCTATTCACAATGAGAAAAATGAGAGTTTTTCATCATAAAATGATAAAGGCACCCACAGATGAATGACCACATTTGGGACTGTCACTGCTTCGTGTTGACTAACGCTGGTTCTATCTGGGAAAGGATACAAAGGATCCACTCTTCACCCAAATCCAGTGTTTTGATAAACACATTCCACTTCAAAACTGGGTTGATGAAAAAGGTGTAAAATCTAGTCAGTGCCAGAGGCGCCTCTAATACATTTTTTTCAAAGAAGAAAAGAAAGATGAGAAAATGAAATCTATTTACATAATTCATGTGTGACTATCCTTCGATAGGAGGCCTCTGATTTTACACCATTCCAAACTTACAGATCAGTTCAACATTCTATTATGTTCTACTGATGATTTCCGGGAGACTACAGCTCACACCAGCCAAAAATCTAATGGAAGTCCCTGCTGGACAATTTCGTTCTCCTTTGAAGCTGCCCTTGGCAGCCAGCTCTGAAGCAGCCAGCACAGACTTGTTCCTCTTGACACTGCTGCTTCTCCCACACCATCCAGCTCCAGCACCAACTTGTCCAGGTGCCTGTCTAGAAAACGGAGCCCTGTAGTCAACAGGGGCTGATGGGTTTCAGAAAGCAGTGCGGTGTACTTGCTGTTGACACACACTATACAGACACTCAGGGTGCTCCCGCTCACACCTTGCTCACCAAAATATTCACCCAACTAAAAGAGACTGCTCCCCAGGAGGGATCCGGCTAACATTTCCTTCACATCTTTTATAGATGCATAACACAACTTTATCACAGGAATGAACACTCTATGAGGGCAGTCCAAGGAGTTCCCACCTATCTCTGGCAAAAGCAGCTGACTTGAAGCTTACTGTATATTGTTAAAAAAAAAAAAATAACAACAACCCTCACGTGCATAGGTGAGAGAAATAAGAACCCCACTGGGACAAAATTAGCAATGCAGACCATAGAGGCAGGAGGTCCTGTGCCAGAGAGCAACAGGCAGGAGTGTGGCAACGGACTGGTTTTGAACTGAGATGAAAAAGATGCAGTCTCAAGGTGGGATATGCAAGCCAAGATAGCAACTCAATCTCCCAGGAAGGACAAGGGGTAAACATTTGGGGATTATGTCACTCACTGAACATACCAAACTGAACTGGTAGACAGTCAGTTGAGTCTGTAAGTATCCAGGCAGTAGACAAACGAGGCATGATCTCAACAGAGATCTGATTTTTTTAAAGATTTATTTGTTTGTTTGTTTTATTATTTGAGTGTATTATTTGAGTGTTCTATCTGCATATATACCTGCACACCAGAAGAGGGCGTCAACTCTCACTCACTACAGATGGTTGTGAGTCACCATGTGGTTGCTAGGAATTGAACTCAGGACCTCTGGAAGAGCAGTCAGTGCTCTTAACCTTTAAGCCCTCAACAGAGATCGAAAGCAGGGCTGCGGGCCAGGTGAGCAGCGTCCGTGTCACCTGGGAACCCGTCAGCACAGTGAATTCTGAGGACACAGCCCCAGAGTGAAGAAATGGGAGCTATTGGGGCGGACACACAACTGTGCTTTAGCTGGTCCTGCAGGTGAAGCCCTTCTGCGCAACCTCCAAGGTGCACTTAGAACAGTGGTTCTCAACCTTCCTCGTACTTTGGCCCCTTAATACAGTTCCTCATGTTGTGATGACTCCCAACCATAACATTATGTTTGTTGCTACTTCATAACTATAATTTTGCTACTGTTATGGATCATAATGTTTTATAATCTGAGCTTTCTGATGGTCTTAGGCGACCCTTATGAAAGGGTCGTTCAGCCTCCGAAGGGGTCTTGAGCCACCGATTGAGAACCACTAAGCTAGAGGGAATTGCCTAAGAAGGGGTTGGAGAACTGAAAAACCACAGTGGTGGTCTGAGGTAGCTCAGAGGGTAATTTCTGGAAGCACCTACCATTCCTGGGGTTGGCGAAGAACCTGAAGACTTCTTTAACTGACCAGAAATAGAGGGGCCCTGAGGGCACTGGGTTTCAGACCTCGAAGAGCTGCCACTGCCTCCCTTCAGAACACTAGCAGAAGATTCTGGAAGTGTGGAAAAATGCCGAAAGTCCCAACAGCTACCAGTGGGAAAGTGCTGCTTTCATGGTCTTGCTGCCAGGAGTCCCAGGCCAGCTAGAAGGCGCAGACCTTCCCTAGTCATTCTGAGCAGAACTTAACTAACCAGCTGACGAGCAAAGCGAGTGTGGAGACCTTGACCCAGCCTCATAAAGTAGAGGACAGAAAAGCTGGTTGTGGAGAGACGCTTGCGCTTCTACAGACCCGCGTACCTAGTGCTCCATCTCTGGGTGAAGTTCATAAGGGAAGCCCTTTTGGAGACAAATTGACAGTTCTGATGGACGGCCTAACTAGCAGTGTCTGAAAAGCAAGATGTCTCCAAGAATGCTGGGTTCGATCCAAGTCCCAGATCTGACCTTGGCCTCCAGCCAAGTGTGATGTAAGGGCGAACCTGGGTGCACAAATACACACCGGAACAATCAGTCCCGAGGCTCACGCTGTATCTTAATTCATATTGAACTTGGAAGTGCAGGTATTTGATAAAGCGTGGTGAATCAATGACAGGGGGTGGGGTGGGGGCAGAGGGAGAAGGGCAGGAGCCGTGTCCACAGCAATCCCTTGCAAAGGCCCAGAGTTCACAGAGAAGTCAGCTTCTGAAACCCCAGTCCTCATTTTAACAGCAAAAATTGTCGGTCATTAAATAGAAGCTGTACAAAATGAGGGTCAGAAGGACAGACGGGTGACAGCCTTTAGGAGTAAACAGGGCTCTTGAAGCATAAACCACCTCATTCTCTTTAAGTCCATTCAGGGAACCCAGGAGTCCTTACAGTGTGGGAAACGTTTAATTCTGTTTGTAGCTTTCATTCAGACCCCAGTTCTAAATCCTGATTGTATCAAGGTAAATTTTTAGAGGTGGTTTTTTGTTTGTTTGTTTGTTTTTTTGGGGTGTGTGTGTGTGTGTGTGTGTGTGTGTGTGTGTGTGTGTTAAATCACAAGCTCTTTAAACACAAATGTTCACAGAACAGCGACTGTGTTAGGGTCGTTAATTTTAAGTGAGTCACAGTCCATTAGGAGACACCCAGGGGCTTCTCCCTTCACTGAATTCCTTCCCATTTCCCCCACCCTTGCTCCCAGCTCAGGAATCTGTGCTCATTGATGCTGCTCACACACCCTGAACTTCCTCTTTTCCTTCCTCGTGTCCCCATGCACCTCCAACTTTTCTCTGTCCTCCACAGTTCTTCATACAGAAGTCATATGAGTCCATCTTTGAGATGTCTACTTCCTGTCTAGGTGGGGACTCCTAGCTTGTGTCTTGAGCCATGAGGAAGAAAGAGAGAGAGAGAGAGAGAGAGAGAGAGAGAATGTTGTCTTCCAATTCTCTATGTGGAGCTTGTCAATTCTTCAGAACAAAGGAGGCAGAAAAGGAAAAACCATGCCTATGGCTGCCGCCACCACTGCAGCTCGCTGATGCTTCCAGCCCAAGATCCTGCACACCTCTCTCCTCTCCTTAGAGATTCCAGTATCATCTGTATGCCTCGGCCGTCTCGGGATAACATTCCTGGCCACTGTCGTTCTTGCAAATCAGTTCATTTGCTTTCTTCTCTAGTCGCTTACAAGCTGGTTTTAAGAAACCTTTTCCCCAGTGTAAGATTTAGGTAATACCTTAATGGGCCCCCATAGTCCATCTGGGGCATAAGAATCCCCGGAAGAGCTTTCTAAAATTGCTGAAGCCAGCTCCCTACCATGTCAATTAAGCTGAAGGCTATGGGGTGTGGGCTTGGATACTGTTTTGGATTTGGGCTTAGCTTTTTCAAAGGAAGCTATCTGAATTGGCAGTCCGTATTGAGACTCAGTGCCACAGGTGCCTTCACTGAGATTTTTTTTTTTTTTAGGCAACAAATGGTTACATGTCCAGTCCTTGTAAAGGGGGTGCTGATGACCCCCACAGTGAAGCCAGCGCAGGGTCTTACCTACTGGGAGAGTCAAGCAAAAGCATATGTAAAATCAAACCAGGTGGTGGTGGTGCATGCCTTTAATCCCAGCACTCGGGAGGTAGAGGTAGGCAGATCTGTGAGTTAGAGGCCAGCCTGATCTACAGTGTGAGTTCCAGGACAGCCAGGGCTGTTATACAGAGGAGAGCCTATCTCGGGGGTGGGGGGGAGTGTATGTGAACAATCGAATAACCGCTTGTTGCCCTTCTTCTAAGGGTGGTAAACAGGTTGTGCAGACAAGGCAAGCAGGGACCTGGC